GAACACCAGTTCTTTTCATGGTGGCGTGTGCAGTGGGGAAGCAGAGAGTGGTGTCATTCTCGGATTCACGAAGAATAAGAAGCAAAGATAAATAGCAGAGGTTGGCAGCGGAGGGGGCTGTCGGTGTGTCTGTCCTCATGAGTCAGCTGTGAGGTTTGGGCCAGCGAGATGCTCGGTGGGTGAAGGTGCATCTCAGAAAACTTGAGTTCAGATTCCCCCAAACCCACACGGCAGATGGAGAGAACAAACTCAATCAAGTTTTCCTCTGACCTCTACACACATGCATGATATGTACACACACATACCACACACACGCTAATTAATGTAAAAGTAAAGGGGGGGGGAACAACTTCAAGAGAGGAAGAGCGGAAGACCAGGGAGGGGTGCTTGCAGTCCCTGCTTTTCGGAGGGAGAAATGGAAGACTGATAGTGAAGATTTGCTGGCTCTCGAGACACTGGCCTGTGTGGATGGACAGGGTTGTTCACTTATGTCTGTGCCTGCGCGTGTGTCAATAGAGGCCAGAGGCAGACATTTGACCGTCCTCCTTAGTCCCTGTCCGTTTGACTTTTGAAACCTTGAGCTCACCTATTTGGCTAGACTGCCTGACCCCAGGTGCTAATCTTAAAATAAGCATTTTGCTCAGTGGTTAATAGCACTTGGCGGATCCACCAGAGGACCTGGGTTCAATTCCCTGAAACCACTTAATGGCCAAGAACCATCTGTAACTCTAGTCCCAGGGCATCTGATGCCCTCTTCTGGCCTCCACAGATACTACATGTATGTGGTGCACAGACATACATGCAGGCAAGACACCTGTAGACATAACATACCTGTACACATAAAATAGAAACAAATGAAATCTCAAAACATTAAAATAAATCTCTAAGCATTATTAAAGATGAACATTTAATAATAATTTTAAGGCAACCATAGCCACGGAAGCTTCTGGTCGTCTTAACATTCAGTGTGTGTGTGTGTGTGTGCGCGCGCGCGCGCGCGCGCGTATGTGTGTCTGTGTGAATGTATGTTACATATGTGTACATGTATGTTACATGCGTGCACATGTATATGTGCATGTGTGGGTTTATGTGTCTGTATATGTGTGCGTATGTGTGTGTGCTTATGCACGCGAGTGGTGTGCCCGTAGAGGTGAGAGGACAGTTTGTAGGAGTCAGTTCTTTTCTTCCACCATTCGGGCTCTGACGGTTGAGCTCATGCTGTCAGCTTAGCGGCATGTGCCCTTCCCCAAGGAGACTCCTGACGTTGTCTTGAGACTCTCTCACATGCCAGCACCCCAAAACAAAAGCCATTAGATAGGATTATCACAACCATCCCCCGCCTCACCTGTCCACCTTCAAAATGCCCTCTCCAACCCGGGACAGGGCTCCTTCGGTCCTCATCCTGCTGCCTCACTGAGGGCAGGCGCACCTGCAGCCCTGATGTAGGCAGCCTTGCCATTCTGCTAGGAAAATAACCTCCATCCTCCACTCCAAACAGCAACACCTGCAGATTTGCATAACAAGCTTTTTGCATTTCGTATTTGGGTTTGAAACCCAAAGGCCGGAATTTATTTGCTTGACCTAGATAAGTAGTTTAGAAGATCAGTTTGGGGGGTTGGGGGGTGGGACACAGGCTGAGGAGAGGACAGGCTGGTTAAGCGTTTGCCACACAAGCGTCCCAACCTGAGCTTGGGTCCCAGGCACCCACATCAAAAAAGCTGGATGCATTTGTGCACCTGTGGCATCCATCTGTCCATCTGTCCGTGCCAGGGAAACACAGAAGAAATCCTTGGGGAGCTGCGCAGTCTGGTGAGTTTCAGGTTGAACGAGAGACCTTGTCTCAAAACAACAAGGCGAAGGCTGGTGGAGGAAGACACTCAGGGACGCACAGAAACACACTCACATACACCTCCACGGTGCCCCAGGCCGATTCACACCCTGCATTGCCTTCTCTGACTCCTCCTCGGATTGGCCCTCTTGGATGAGTCACAGATTTGCAAGTACAAATATTGATTTCCCTAAAGGCTTGTTATCCTTAAGAGGGTCTCTCCGCAAGGACATCTCCCATGCTCGTGAGCCAATCAAGGTTCTGCCCGGGGCCCCGGCGGTGCCAGTCTTGACTCGTGGTGACTAGCCTTCCTCCCTGGAAGTCCCTGGAAATGGGTGTGAGGGCAGCAGCTAGGAGTGAGAGGTTGGATAGGAGACAGAGGGGAAGGTGCTAATAAATCACCACAGCACCTCAGCCTCCATCGAGGCAATTACTGGGGTTGGTTGTCTTCGTGTGTCCTCAGTCACAGCTTCGATTGCCTCTCTCAGATTAAGGCGGGTAGATGCCAGGTGCATGCAGGCATGAGGCGTCAAGGAAATTAGCCATGGCTTGTCCCCTGCTTCTGAGACAGGCGACCCCAGGGTCTCTGCTGGGCTGAGGGGGTCGTGTAGCTACAGTGGAGGGGAGGCTCAGTGAGCGTGGGCGGTAGCCGTGGATGCTGGGACAGTAGCTGTCACCCTCTCTCGGTTTCCTTCCCATGGATGCGGTACTAAGCCAGTTTCCCCATGTGCCCCACCACGCCCCTGGAGGGTTTGTGCAACCTTACATTGCTGGACTCCACCTCCAAGGTTTTAGAATCAGTTGCCCAGGGTAGACGCCGGGAGGTACATCCCTAGCCAAATTCTAGAGTGCTGCTGCTGTCGCTGGACTGGAGAGCCCGCTGGACCACTGAAAACCACTGAGGGCCCCGGTAGTCAAGAGCATGGACTCTGGGATCCAGCGACGTAGCTTTCCGTGTTGATTCTGTGACGCACCAGCTGTGTGGCTGTAAGCCATTTACTTAACCTCTCGATGGCTCCATCCCTCATCTTGAAAGGAGGGATGATAATATTAGCATTTACCCCTTGGGGACTCTGCAAGCATTCAGGAACTTGGAAACATCCAGAAACTGCCTGTGGCAGAGAACATGGCCTCTTGGGACTTCGACCAGAACGAGCCATGTCTCTTGCATCTGATACCTGCAGGTCCCAGTGAAATCACCGGGTCGTTGTGAGCATTAGCCTTCGATCCCATCTCCAGTGTTCGGGAAGGGTAATGCCCAGCTCAGTGCCAGGAGGAGGCCGGGGACGCCCACATCCATCAACATCCTCTCAGGCTGCCTGACCTTTCAGATCTAATAGAGACGCAGTGGGGCCTGTTGAGACAGGGACACCAGGGCAGCCTTGCAGATAAGGCCTCTGGCTGCCTCATGCTGATCTCTGCTGTTCAGTTACACACGTGTGTTTCAGTTCTGAATGTCAGACTCAAGACCTTACCCATGCCAAGCCCATGCTCCACCATGGAGTGGTGACCTCGGCCTTTTGACACTAATTTTTTAGTCACATCATTTTATTTATCCCTTGTAGTGTCCCTAGTAGATCATGAGTTTGGGGAGAGGGGTGAGAGAAGTTAAGAGGACAACTTTTAAAATTCAGATCTCTCTTTCCACCTTATTTTGAGGCTGGGTTTCTCTTGCTGTTTCTGCTATGCTGTGTACCCCAGGCTAGCTGGCCCACAAGCTTCCAGAAAATTCTTGCCTCTGCTTCCCGTTTGCCGTGGGAATACAGACCCACGCTGTCACATCCGGCTTTTTGACTCGAGTTCTAGGGACAGAAGTCAGGTTGTCAGACGTGAGTGGCAAGTGCTTTTCCTGTTGAGTCACCTTGCCAGCCCTTTAACATTATGTGTTTTAAAAAACAAATAAACAAACAAACAATCCTGGAGGCCAGGGAGCTTGCTTGTAGGGTAAAATGCTTGCCTGCAAGCATGGTGACCTATGCTTGGGTCTCCAGCCCTCACATAAAATACAGGAACAGAGGCGCCCAGCATCATCTCCTTGCTGGCTGTTGGGAAAGTGTGGAGACAAGCAGATACCTGCAGCTCCCCTAGCTGACGTGCTGAGCTCTAGGTTCAGTGCTCTGTCTGTTCTTAAAACAGGGTGGGGGAGGCCGGCTGGAGACACGGTTCAGTGGTGAAGACCACAGGCCGCTCTTTCAGAGGACCCAGGTTCAATTCCCAGAACCCACGTGGTAGCTCACAGCTGCCTGTAACTCCAGTTCCAGGGATCTGGCACCCTCACACAGACACATGTGTAGGCAAAACACCAATGCACATGAAATATATATATATATATATATATATATATATAT